AAGCGTCGCCGCCGCCGCCACCGGCCGCCCCCCCCGCGCAGGCGGGGCAAAGAGGAGGGCGGGGCCGCGAACGAGGACACCGGCACCGGACCGCGACACCAGCACCCGGACACAGGCACCGAGACACCAGCACCCCGACACAGGCACCGAGACACTAGCACTCCGACCCAGGCACAGAGACACCATCACCCGGGATACCCGCACCACTGGGACACCTACACTCGCACAGCTTGAGGGATAGCCTGCACGCAGCCTTGAACTACCCGGTCCCCCTCTGGGCCTAAGTTTCCCCTGGTACCGTGCGAAGGAGGGACCCCGCACTGAGGATCCATAGAGGACGTGTTGGGCCTACCTGGAACAGCACCTGTCCCCTACCCCAGTCAGGACCCCCAAGTCTCCTTCCAGCAGGGTGGAGGCCTCCCAGCTGGCAGGTCCTGGCCCTGGACTCTGGTCCCCAGTGGCCCTTGCCAGCTTCTCCTAAGCCTCTGTCTCTGTCAGATTGACACTCCTGCCCCTGCACCCCAGGCCCAGGTGACAGGGGTTTGGATCTGCCTCAATCACTCACTGGTCCCCAGTACCAGCACCTTCTAGCCTGTCTCCACACACATTTGTGGAATATCACTGGGGCTCAGCTGCACCCAGGGGTGGTAGGCAATTGTTAGGGGGCACGTGCCCCCAGTCAGGTGCTTTGGCTGGGTTACTACAGCCACCCTCTGTGGAACCCTTTGAGGTCCATAGAGTCATCCTTGCCCTTTGATGGACACTGGCCCTTGTCCTGCCCAGTGCTACATCAGGTTGAACTGTTAGGAGGGTTCTCCAGAGGAAGAGGTCTGCAAGGCTGGTCTAGCTGTCCTCAACAGAGATTCTGAGGGGAGGGAGGAGGGAAATTTCAACTCTGTCATTCAAAGATACCTAGGAAAGAGCCAGGCCTTGGGGGTACACACCTGTAATCTCAAGACTAGGGAGAATGAGGCAGAGGGATTTGAAGTTCATGGTCAGCCTGTCTTAGAAAAATAAAAAATGACACATTTTTGAGACAGGGTTTCATGTAGCTCAGGCTGACTTTGAACTTGCTACGTAGCTGAGGATAACCTTGCTCTTCAGATCCTCCTGCCTCCTTTACATCCAGTTCATTCGATCATGTCCAGGTCAAAATCAGGGCTTTGTGTGTTCTAGCTCAGCACTCCACTAGCTGAGCTACATCCCCAGTCCCTCAAAAAAATATATATTTTTTTATCATTAGGAATTTAGAGATCTTCACCTCTTGTAATCCCATTGTCCATATTTTAGAATTTGGACTCATGGACGCCTCGGGGAGATGGATGGGCCATGGGGATGAGAGCTGGCTGTACTACTGGTAGCACAGTTGGGAGCTAGAAAACTCTGGCTCTGAGTTGAGCAAGTGTCGGGGTTCAAATCCAAGTTCTGAAAATTCCAAGCTGTGGTACTTTGCATGTGTGACTTAACCTCTCTGAGCCTGTTTCCCAACTGTAATATGGAAATAATCATATGGGATTCACTCACTCACTCATTCAGCAACTAGAAACGAACTGAATACCTACTACATACTGGGTCAGGGGCCTGACTGGGAGGATCATGTGAACTTTGCCTTGGTCCATACTGGGGGTTCAACAAATGTGGTTGGGAACTCAGAAATGGGTATAAACCCACCTTCCAGAGTGGCTGAGCAGACCCATGGACAGACTGGTTCTAAAGAGCTCCCACACAGCCAGTACGGATCAAGTGGAGGATACAGGGAGTGCCATGCCAGCTCTGTGCAGGAAGGACTTAGGAATAGCTGGGTCAGGCCACACCTGGCACAGCCTGGTGGAAGAGGTGTTGAGCAGCCCACCCTGGGACCAGCAAGGCTCAGAGAGCTGCTCAGATGAGCTTGTTAGGTTGCTAGCAGGGGCCAGGCAGCCAGGAAACCCAGCCTCTCCTTCAGAGATTTCAGGAAGCCACAGACCCCTCCCAGAGAGGGGAGTAGACAGGAAGGGAATCTTTGTTCAGGCCGGGGGTGCCACCTGCTGCACCAAGACATGGATACAACCAGAGCTGAAATGGGTCCCCTCCCTACTAGTCTCCCTGGGGGGTCACAGATGCACATTCAGGGTAGCCGGGCACGCAGTGCACCACAGGTCACTCTCCCCATGTGATCCCTCCTACATCTCAGTGCACCAGTGTCTCCTTCCCTGCGCCGTCCCTACCCACACAGATACCAGCCACTACCCTCACCCAGCCAACCTCCCAGAGGGCATGGGGCACCTGGCAAAGTCTTCCTGACTCTCAAGAGGTGAGCCGGTCTAGTCCTGCCACTCCTGAGACCACACTCCTTGCCTTCAAAGGTCCCTCTGCCTCCCCTGGAACTGGGAGCCCCAGATCCCCAATGGACAATAATTGCAGGGCTCCTGCTGAGTTGTCTATGTCCCACACTTCTGTATGACATGACATCATCCCCATTTTTCAGAGTCCAGTCACCACTAACCCCCTACCAACCCCCAAGTGGCCCTTGAGAGCTAAACTCTTAACTCCAGGGTGTATAAGGGAAGTGTTTGTTGATTGACTTAAAGAGTCACTGAAGGAGCCACACTCCAAATCAAGGGAATGTTCAGATGTCATTGCACCCAAGATGACCTCTAGTGCCTGACTGAGCAGTTATGTCCCCCTGCCCCAGTGAGGTGCCTCTGGCTCAGAAGTGTAGCAAAAAGGGTCTGAGGAGGGGCTGGAGAGATGACTCAGTGGTTAAGAGCAATGGCTGCTCTTGCAGAGGACCCAGGTTCAGTTCCCAGCACCCACGTGGTGGCTAACAACCATCTGTAACTCCAGTTCCAGGGGGTCCGACACCCTCTTCTGACCTCTGCGGGCATTGCAGGGCATAGGTGCACTTACACACATACAGACAATACATTCATTCACATAGAATAAAAATAATAAAATATTTTAAAAATTAAATAAAAATAGAAAAAAAGGGTCTGTGGAGGCCTCAGCAGCACTGCTCAGGAGCTGTTCTGTCTCTTCCTGCCCTTCAGGGGTTTGGCTAAGAGGATGGGGTGCCCTGTGTAGTGGTAAAAGCCGACTATAGATGACATCCCATCTACAGGCCCTAGCCTGGAGCGCCTGCTTCCTTTGACTCCGCCCACAGGCCTGGGACTTGGGTGCAAAGAAAACCTGGCCTCCCAGGCCCCGGTGCTGTGAGGACCAAATGGCTAATACTTACAAGAGAGCCACCCACAGGGAGTGCTGTGTCCACTGGCTCTTTGCTGTGTCTCTGTTCTTTAGTTACAGAATCCAGGGCTCAGAGAAGTTCAGTAACTTGTTCCAGGCCAAACAGGCAGGAAGTAGGTAAGCCAAGATTTGAGCCAGGCAGTGGGACTTGGCTCAAAAAAAAAAAAAAGATCTTATTGGTACCGGGTATGGTGGCATGCTCCTTTAATCCCAGCACTTGGGAGGCAGAGGCAGGTGAATCCCTTTGAGATCAAGGCTAGCATGGTCTACCTGGAGCTACAGGGAGACCCTCTCTCAAAAAAAAAAAGTATTATTGGGGGCCGGGGGAGTGCTGGAGAGATGGCTCAGCGGTTAAGAACACTGGTTGTTCTTGCAGAAGACCCAGGTTCAAATCCCAGCACCCACTGTCCTTAACTCCAGTACCAGGGAATCTGACAGCCTCTTCTGTCCTCCATGAGCATTACATGACATGGGTGCACTTACCTACATGCAGGCAATACACGCATACACATAAAATAGAAATAATAAATAAAATTTTTAAGTATTAGTTTTTAAATTTTGTGTCTGGGGGTATAGGGGGAGGTATGTGCATTTGAGTGCACTATGATGCCCAGAAGAGGGCATCAGATCCTGTGGAACTGGAGCTGGAGCACAGAGCAGCCCCATGTGGGTGCTGGGAACCAAACCTTGGTCCTCTGCAAGACCAGTACAAGCTCTTAACAGCTAAGCCATCTTTCCAGCCTAAAACTCTTTTTTAAAATGACAGGGTCTCACTATGCTGCCCCTGAACTTACTAGGTGGACCAGGTTGGCCTTGAACTCACAGGGATCTGCTTTCCTCTGTTTCCTGAGTACTGGGATTAAAGACTTGTGCCACTATGCCCCACCTGACCTGCCTCTGAACGCAGCTTCTTACCTCTGTGCTGTGTGGCTGCCTTGGGCTCAGGGCACATTGCGGTCTTCACAGGGGCCTCCCTTACATTCTCAGCCCCACCTCCCCTACACATGCATTTTGCCCACTGAAACTTCTTGCTTTGTTTCAAGAATCAGGATGGAGGCCAGAGCCTGGGTTTGCTTCTAGGAAATTGTGAGTGACAGCTGGGGGCTCAGTGACCCTCAAAATTCAGGAACTGAAATAGGGTTCTGGCATCATCGCCCTGCTGGGGGCTCGAACCAGCGACCCCCACACAGTGATGATTGGGGATGAGTAAGCGAGCCGTTTGCCAGCCCACACCGCCCCCAGTACCAGGGACAATCAGATGAAATGGGGAGTCTAGTCAAGCAGGGACTCATTTATTGCAGGTGTTACAGAGCTTATAAAGGCACCTGGAACTCCCCCCTCCCCTCTGAGGGTGTATCTTAAGGATGGTCACGTGCTGATCATGCACTCCTCAGCAGTGCGGAAGTATCCTTCATACTTTTAAAACAAGTCAGGCCACGCCCCAGTAACTTCCTCTTGGACCTCTGCAAGCTGGGGCCTTTAGGTCCCCACAATCGCTCCAGATGAGGAGGAACCAGA